TAATAATAATAATAATAATAATAATAATAATAATAATAATAATAATAATAGCACTCAATTAATCACTAACATCCAGGTTTCGACTTTTCAAAAGACCAATTTGAAAAGCATCATCACATTCCACACCGACCATCACTGAGTGAACTGCACGAATGAACATCTCTGAGGCTGCGCGCAATTCGGGCAATAACTTTAACAACGCGATACACTTACTTGTCTGAATTATTTCAGTTACAACATTCGATTTCGAACAAAACTGAAGGCCCTATCAACCATCAAGCCCAAGCCACTCTTACTTATAATCAATTTATATATTACCACTCAGAATATGAATATCTGATATAAAAGCAATGAATCCTATTTGATATAAAAGCAACCTTCGCATAAACACAAATATTTTGCAGTGAACGATTGCCGATTTGTACGGTCTTCATCACCGAATTAGCACCAGCTGCATATTTTGCAAACCTGCAACAAAATTCCATGTCACGTTGTTCTTCAACTGAGAAGAAAATGTAAGAATATTTATTGAAGGAAGACAACAATAGAACCAGTAAAATTAGAAAACGAATCTTGCCTTCAGGAAATAAAACAGATTGAAAACAAAAAGCAAAAGCACAAAATGTTTATGTTCAATGAGTGAGTAAATAACCGTCTTTCAGCATTCAACAAGTGTAAGAATGAGCCTTTCGATGAGAAATTCTGTAAGAATACACGACCTTCACGAGCTGCACACAGCAACACACTCGAGTTACGTAAATCCTTCAAACAAGACTAAACGTCAATATTCAACGTTTCAAAAATATCACCAAATTTTCCAATTTCTCTCTCAACTTCAAAATCAGTTACATCGAATAATAATGCATATTTCAGTGACATCCTTCCAATAAAGAAAATACCAGCAAACGACTGATAAATAAACCTTCACTCGAATCATCAACGATAATAAGCAAAAGCAACTCGCTGCACATTTCCATTGCAACAAACAACCATCTAAGTTCATTCCACTCCGTTCAATATTATTCATTCGCAATACTTTTATTGTTTCATTCACACTACCAAATAACACTTTGTATAAGCTCGCAAATGAACCTCTGCAAATTAAATCCGACTGCACAATCCGCTTACACACACCATTCACGCGAAAAAAACGTATTCCTCCCTTTTCCCCTTCCGGGTTAACTTCCCATTCGTTGGCTAATACTGAACACCAAAAATAGCAATAATAATACCAATACCAATAATAATCAACGACAATAATAACAACAATAACAAACAAACCTGGTAAAAGAAGCGAAATGTGCGGATTGTTCGTCATTTGTTAACTCATCATCGATGCACTCTTCCAACGAATTTATTTTACTACGTCTTTTCTCATCATCTGGTATCAATTCAGCTAATTTATTCGCTATTATCCATTGAACTGCCAACAAACGTTTTGATTCTCTTCTCAAGCAAATATACAAACTGCAATTCGCATTTGTTAATAACTTTTTTTTGTTTTGATGATTTATTCACAATTCAGCAACCAAAGAAAGACGCTTACAAGAGCAGAGTTCCAATAGGTTTATGCAACTCAACGCCCTTTAACATATTACCATCTTCATCAGTCCATTCCTTACGTAAAAATGACAGCGCGATACGTGCTTAATAAACATCCTTCAGCATTATATAATTAACTAATCTCACAAATAATAATAAACGAACCCATCGAAAGACGCTGATGTTCAGTGCTTGACTGAATTGAGGTGAACAATTCCGATAAGACAACTGCACATTGCAGTGTTGGTATGTGGCTCGAAATTTCCATTAGATAGTTCGAAACCGATGCCTAAATAAACAATGACGTAAACAACAACAAAAAACAACACTGAACAAACCTCTGCGTCCTCGTTAGCAACGTCCTCTTGAAGGACATTCAGACGAATCAACGTCTTTTCAATTTGCACCATCACACTCTTCCTTCGCTCGTATCTGACACGATTCGTTCGTTCGTCCAACTCGATCGTCGATAACTCTTTGCTAAATGAGCATAATCAACTACCAAAAAAAGCAATCTTATAAACGAACCATTTGAAGAGTTGCCTGAATACCGTTAACGTTGCACACAACAATGCGGACATTTGATTGAAATATTCACGTTTCGTTTTATCATCAAGCACATCATCACCATTAGTGTCATTCGCAAACGAACGAAAATACTGCACAGCACCATCGAGCACTTCACATAACGTCGGTATCACATCAATCAATAATCGCCAAACTCTCTTCATATCTCCGTGATCAACTGCTCTTTCACCGATCGGAATCTCGCAGTTACTCATCTCAAACAATAATCATTTCAATCTCATTTTCATTGATCGCAATATGATCCAACTGGAACACAAATCCACTAATCTATATTTCGTTCGCTATAAACCGTACAGATTTTAATTTCGTTTAAACATAACTCAGTTTCGTTGGCAATTTAACTGTCAATGCTGTATTTTCTTTTGTGTCCAATCAACGTTTAATAACACTTCATTCACTACACAACTAGCTTATGCAGAATTGTCAAAATATGTGTCAAAATATTATACTGCAATGGAACAAATAAGTCAAAATTCTAAAAACAATGCAAATTTGACAAAAATTTTTTTAAACAAAAGCGAATATGCATATTGAACATACCGTCATCCACGACGCCAGTTTCTTTTCTTTTACGGGCAATTCAATATCAATTATTTTCTGCAAAATCTCTACCAAAAACGTCGTTTGTTTACGCTTTCGTGGAATTAACTGCAAAAAACGAACATTTGTTTTAGCTTTCAACAAACTCTTCTTTTAACAACAAACTATATTTGAGCAGTTTTAATACAAAACAATCAGCAAGAACTGCAACGCCAACTAAGCAATTGATGATCACGGTACGGTAAAATCAAAGAAGTGATATTATAAATGATTCGCGTACGTTTGCTGCGAGCAGTAAAACAATCAGGTAAATCGATTTACACGAAGAATTGGTGTTGTCGGTGGCTAGATGAATTCTTAATGAATTAATGTACATTGAACATACTTGAATAAGCTTCACAATTGAAACCAAACGAAATGGTGAGAAATAGCTGAGCACACGACTCACATCCACTGAACCTCTATTTAATTTTCTTTTTCTCGAATTTTTATTTCCCTCTTCCTTATTATTATTATTGTTATTGTTTGCAGCAACACTTTCTTCCCTCTGAAAATCATAAATTTTAAACACCAATATAAGTTTTCATTCTATACTAGAGAATGAATGACAACTAACGTTTTCCTTATTTGCATCGTCTTTTTCACCATCTTCATCTCCAATATTATTGTTCGGAATCGATTCATCGCTCACAATAATCTCTTGCGCTCGTTTATCACCAGTCGTTTGTTTTCGTAGAATTTGTGCACCATCCCCATGAACGATAATTTTATGACCAGCGTTAGTTGCTAGATGCGGTAATGCATATTCTCCCACTTCTACAATTGGCATCATCACTCATGCAACCGAATTAGGCATAAGAAATTTACACTTCAGAGTTAATCAATCCGATACCGTGCTAAAACACTGCCCAACCGAACATATGTATAATACGCTTATAACTTTATATTTTTTATTCACCTTGCAACATAACGATAAACTGTCTATTGCTGATTGCAAGGAAACAAAATGAAACGCGTGCAAATTGAACTAAATAACCAACTTTTTATTGTGTAAATCAAACTTTTTTGACATTCGACCATCAGAGCGAATTTTTTACGCATTATTTCGACGATTATTTGATGCTCATCTGGTGCTGTTAGTTCACATTCCGCAAAAGTGTTCAGCATCTGAATGACCAGAACTGCTTAAGACTGTGTATTCATTGATGTAATAATTACTTTAATATCGATAATAATAATGACAATCAACATTCAAAAATCACTTACCAAACGTATCCACTGAATTGCATAACAAAAAATATCGCAGTTTATCACACGTCGTTCATTTTCTTTCGCCTCCAGATCCACACCTCGCATTGAAATGTTTGCTTCTAAACAGTGAAAATAAATAACTTGACAACAAAAATAGTAATAATATCATTACTTACTCATTATAGAATGCCATTAAGGAGACTCCAATAGTGCGCGATACTCAACTGTTAATAATAA